GGGCTTATATGAAGTGCCTTCAAAAAGTTCATGGATCTTTTAATTCTATTTTCCCACACACTTTATGAAGACCCTTGCAGAAGGCAGGCCAGCAAAGCAGGCAGGGTCAGAATGTGGGATATCTTAGCTACCCAGACTAGGGCTTGCAAATTCACTGTGTTCACCGAAGGGGGTGAGGTAAAAAAAAATGATAGGATCAGGTCGCAGGCAAGGAGATCCCAGGGACAAAGATGTGAGACTTGAAGTCACACAGACCTGGCTTTGCCACTTAGAAAACATGTGATCTTGGGCAAGTTATTTAACCTTTTATGTTTCAGTTTGCCAAGTGGGAATATTATCAGCTCTTTCCCTCACTGCATTTGAGTATTAAAAGAAGTAACATAGGTAAAGTGCTTAGCATAGTTGGCATAGTAAATCCCCAAAAGCTGTTAGATATTTTACCATTACTATTAAAAAGGCAAATATTTGTGTAGTATCCATATCCACACACTTACCTTTGTTCCATGGCCAACATAAAAGGACATCCCAGCTAAAGGAAGGTGGGGACTAGGGGTTAAATGTACTAAGGCATTGGTTCTCAACATGGCAGGGGGGCGATTTCCACTCACCCCACCCTCCTCACCCCCGCCAAGGGGATATTTGGCAATTTCTGGAGATGTTTTTGGGTATCAATACCCTGGCTGCAACTGGCATCTAGTGAGAAGAGGCCAGAGATGCTGTTAAACCTCCTATAATGCACAGGAAAGCCCCCACAACAAAGTTACCTAGCCCCAAATATCAATAATAGCAAGGTTAAGAAATTCTGTCCTAAAAAAATACACACAGCAGTTATATGGCACCATAGCAGCTGGGTGTCCAGGCTCCGGAAAAAGTATGCTAATGCCAAAAATAGCAGTTACAGCGTATGGTTTTGCACATTTATAAAAAGACACCATTCTGGATTCTATATCTGTCAGAATAAATATGAGGGTGAGGAAAAAACAAAAGACAATCTAACAATGTATAAAAAGAATAATTATCATAACCAAGTAGGATTTATTCCAGGTACCTAAGGCTGGTTCAATATTCAAAAATCAATGTAACCCACCATACCAACAGGTGAAAAAAGGTAAATTATATAATCATATCAATTGATGTAGAAAAAGTATTTGACAAAATTTAACACCCATTCACAATAAAAAGAAAATTATCTCAGTACAGGAACAGCAGGAAACTTCTATAAAAATCTTACAGCTTACATCATACTAAAAGCAAAAGACTGAATGCTTTCCCTGTAAGATCAGGGACAAGATAAGATGTTCATTCTCAGCACTCTTTTCCAACATAGTACTGGAAGCTGTAACCATTGCAATAAGCAAAGAAGAAAGAAGGGGAGGGAGGAAAGGTGTACAAATTGGAAAAGAAGAAATACAACTATCTCTATTTGCAGACAACATGGTTGTCCACAAAGAAAATCCCAAGAAATCTAATAAAAAACTCAGAATTAATGAGTACAGAAAGGTCACAGAATATAAAATTAACACACAAAAATCAACTGCATTTCTATATACGACCAATGAACATGCAGAAACTGAAATTTTAAAAAAAGCACATTACCATTTACAACTGCTCCAAAGAAAATTAAATACGTAGGTATAAATCTAACAAAACACAAGATCTGACAATTGCTTAAGATAAAAAAATAGTGACACCACCAAATGCTGGCATCTTCATCTGTTTTCTGCTGCTATAACAGAATATCACAGATAGGTTTATTTACAAACAACAGCAGTTCATTTGGCTCACGGTTCTAGAGGCTGGGAAGTCCAACAGCATGGCACCAGCATCCGGTGAGGGCCTTTGTGCTGTGTCATCCCATCGTTGAAGACAAAAGAGAGCACGCAAAACAGAAATAAAATCTGGCCAAACTCATCCTTTTTCTTAGGAACCCACTCCCATGATAAGTAACTCACTCCTATGGTAACAACATTAATCCATTCACGAGGGCACAGCTCTCATGAACTAATCACCTTTCAACATTGTTACCACGGCAATTAAATTTCAGCATGAGTTTGGGAGGGGATATTCAAACCATAGCAGCTGGCAAGGATCCAGAGAAAATGGATCACTCATACTTGTACATTGCTGGTGGAAATGTAAAATGGTACAGCCACTCTAGAAAATGGTTGAAAGTTCCTTCTAAAACTAAAAATGAACTTTTCATACAACTCAGCAATTGCACTCTTGGGCATGTATCCCAGAGAAATAAAAATGTATTTTCATGCAGAGATATTCTCATCAGCTTTATTTGTAATAGGTAAACCTGAAAACTATGCAAATTCTCTTCAACGGTTAAAAGGTTAGACATCAGTACCATGAAATGCTACTCAACAATAAGAAGGAACAAACTATTGACAGACGCAACAACTTGGATAAACATCGAGGAAATTATACTGAGTGAAAGAAGGCAATCTCAAAAGGATACAAACAGCATAATTCAGTTTATATAACATCTATGAAATAGCATAATTATAGAGACGAAGAACAGGTTAGTGGCTGCCAGGGGTTAGGGATGTGGAGGAGCAAAGGGAGTGTGTCTATAAAGGGGTAGCCTACAGGAGGCTTGTGATGATGGTACACCTAGGCATCTTGACTGTGGTGGCAGTGTACATGAAGCTACACATGATAGAACTGCATACAGCTATACACACACACACACACAAATGAGAGCACGTATAACTGGAGAAATCTTTTTAGTTTCTTTTTTTTTTTTTTTTATAACTGGAGAAATCTGCATCAGCTCCGTGGATTGTGCCAAGGGCAATTTCCTGGTTTGATAATGTACTATAATTATGCAAGATGTTAACACTGGGGGAGACCGGGTGAAGGGTGCACCAGACCTCCCTGTATGTTTCTTTGCACCTTCCTGTGAATCTATACACTTAATGGTTCCTTTTACATGACACTCTAGAAAAGGTGAAACTGAAGAGAGAAAAAACAGATCAGTGGTTGTCAAGGGCTGAGTGGTGTGGGAATGAGATTGATTGCAGAGGGACACAAAGGAACTTTTTGGAGTAAAGGAAACACTCTATATCTTGATTGAGATGGTGGTCAGATGACTGCATGTAAAAGGCATGGAACTGCACACTTGAAAAACAGATGAATTTTTTTATATGTAAACATACATATAACTTTTTTAAAAAGAAGAGAGAGACCAATGGCCAAGGGTCTCATAAAATACACCCATTAAAAACAGTTTCTTAGCGCGGCATCTGCAGTGAGCTGAGTGTGAGAAAGCAGCCTGCCTAGTCATGGGCCTGTCCACTGTCACTCCAGCAGTGCAGTGGACTTACCTGGAGGGCCCAGCTATTGGGAAGGAGGGATTTCAGCCACCAGGTATGAATGTGAGGAGGAATAAACATCTGACAAGGCAGACAACTCAAAAAAAGTTGAGTGGGGCCGGCCCGGTGGCGCACTGCTACAGCGCGCCACTTGGGAAGTGCGGCAGCGCTCCCGCCGAGGGTTCGGATCCCACATACAGACCGGCCGCTCACTGGCTGAGTGAGGTGCGGGCGCAACACCGAGGATTGCGATCCCGTTGCCGGTCCCGGTCCGGTACGGGCGCGACACTGAGGGTTGCGATCCGTTGCCGGTCACGAAAAAAGACAAAAAAAAAAAAAGTTGAGTGCTCTGCACAATAGAAGTGAGCAAGGTAAGAACATAATGAATGAGTGCATAGCCAAACAAGTAGAACTCCTTCTGAGCCTCGGTTTTCCTCAAGTCAGTTAACATTTCAGAAAATGTCTCCTTAAGCCCTTCATGCTTACGACACATGGCACTGTACAACATTCTCTCTAACCCTCAAAGCAATCCCTCAAGGTGGACCTCCCTCCTGCCACTGCAGCAAAGAGGGCGAGACAGCTGGTGCCTTAGGAAATCTTGGGTTCTGGAACTAGAAGGTTTGCATGTGTATCCCATGCCTGCCACTTACTGGTTGGTGGCCTGGAACAGTCTCTGAATCCCATTGACCTTCCAGTTGCAGAAATACAGATAATGAAAATGGTCATAATACACTCCCCACCTCTCTCTCTTTGCAAAGTGTTATACTTTAATAGTGTTCCTTGAAGGCTCTGATTTTAAACACATTTAATTCAGTAACCAAAAAAATTAGTTTTTTAATTATCTAAGGGACAGCTCAGATGGCCCTACTATTCCTCTTACATATAACAAAAACAGAAGGAGAGTCACCTCTTCCACTGTCCTGTCCTGAAATCAATCTCCACATTTTGAGAAAGTTGGGTGTTACCTGTTGTGTCAGAGTTCTTTAGAGAAACAGAACCAGCAGGATATATATATACACACACATATATGTATATATGTATACGTACACACCCACGCACAGTAATCCCAAGGGCTGGCTTATGTGACTGTGAGGGACTGGCATGTCCAAAATTCACAGGGCAGGCCAATAGGCTGGAAACTCTCAGGCAGGACCTGATGCTGCAGTCTTGAGGCAGAATTTCTTCCTTAGGGAAACCTCAGTTTTGCTCTAAAGGACTTTCGACTGATGGTATGTGACCCCCCCACCATATGGATGATAATCTTTTTTACTTAAAGGCAACTGATAGTAGAAGTTAACCACATTTACAACATATCTTCACAGCAACACCTAGATTTGTGTTTAATTGAGTAACCAAGTTGACAGTTAAAACTGACCATCACACCTGTTATGTAGTGTAGGGTCATCTGATAGCACAGAGAGGGTTGACAATTCCTACTCAAGTTTTCAAGAGAAGCAGGAGATTTAGGGACCACAATGTCTAACAACGACAACAACAAATTCCTGGTCCCTTTTTTTGGGCACCTCTCAATGTCATGGATGGTTCTAGTGTTTGCACTCGCTCTTGTATGAACTCTGTGGCATAAGCTAGAAAACATTTTAACCTAAGATCTAGTAAAGGGATCTGAGTGATGTAAAAAGAAAGAGAAGGTATGAAAACAAAAACACAGACTTCAACCTCTCATAAATAAAAAATAAAATTCATTTACTGAAAAGAAAAATTTTAACACATGATCTACGTGCAGAACCCAAAACAAATCTTCTACAAGCTCTGGAACAATCCACATCTCTCCATCATGCTGGAAATGTACACACATGCAGGCACATAACATACACAGTACTGCGTGGTTATTAGTGCCTGCTGTAAGACACTTATTCCTCTCATTCACGTCCATGGACATGCTTTACAATCGAAGCTCCTGATTTTATTGTTCACTAAAACAAAATAGGTTCCCCAGCATCACCTTGGTTTAAGCCAACGAATACAATGAACAGCAGGCACCCTCCACCCTCATTTTCCACCTCCCTTACCCTGACAACCTCAGCACTGTTTATGTCCTCTGGCCAGGGAATGACTCAGTGGTACACAGGAAAGGGAAGAAATCTATTGGGCTGATGCGGTCACAGCAGCACTAATTGTCTGAAGATACTGACCGTGATTTCAAAGACAAGCCGCACCCTTTCCCCTAGAGGTCTTGGATATCTGTAGTTTGGAAAGTTAAGTTCTAAAGCAGACTTGAAACTGACCTCCTCATCTCCAAGTCCTGCCACTTGTGCTCTGTGTCTCCTCTTCGAGGAAACAGTATTGTACTCCCACCAGGGGCCGATGCGAGACCTGCTTCAACATCTGATCAACTGGACTAAAACCCACTAACACAGACCCCCTTGCTGGGAGCAGGAAGTGAGAGCTGTAAACATGAATAAATTGAGATTTTGCACTTCCAAAATCATGAGGTGAACATGTAGTGTTAAACAGAGATGATATTCTAGGAAAGGAGAAATTTGAGAAGAAAAATTAAGACAAGAGAATAGGGAGGGGGAAAACGAGCTTTCTAATGTACTTTTTGGGACCAACACTTTAAGACTACTGATAAAACTGCAAATTTGGGGGCTGGCTGGTTAGTACACTTGATAGAGCATGGTGCTGATAACACCAAGGTCTACTTGCAGAAGAGGAAGGACATCCCCTCACTGCCAACTTCTCCTGGCTGACCCTGTACTAGACACCTAAGAGTTGTACAACTGCACAGCAAGGAAGGTCCTCTAGCTGGATCCACCTTGCCTGGTCTTCTAAGGTAGCCACACAATCAGCTGTCAATGCAGCACAGGAAAGAGATCAAATGGGCAGAAGCCATGCCGAATTAGCTTCCAGAAACCCCAGAGCCAGAGCCAGCTTCTACACACCACATTCTTGGGGCCAGGGACCTTGAAGCAATAGCCTGCATTTTGCTAAGGGGGACTGAGGACCTCAGTAGTCTGCCATCCAGTCCTCAGGTCAACATCACAGTCCCAATCTCAGAAGTCACCTGGACAGGACTGCCTCTAGCAGTTCTGAGTGCACAGATGCCTCCAACGAGGAGGCTGTGGCAGGACACACACCCGGCCCCCTTCCATTGGCATGTACCTTATTGAAAACAACTCTCAGTACTGCCGTGAGAGGACAGCTAGGTAACAGCTGGGCTGCCAGAGCCCAAGCTTGCTAACAGTTTCCGGGCCCGCTTTGGTAACGTCTAAGCCTGAGACTCCAGAGTGCAGGGCCTCTGCTAATCCCAGCTAGAACTTTGGTCACATAGGCACCTGTTAGAGACCACAAAGGAGCAGAAGGGGTGGTTGAAAAGTGTCATTCTCCTAAGGGAGGACAAGTCAATGATGGTGACATCTTCCTAAGTTGATGAACTATTATCAGGTAGGTTAGAAGCCACTGCAATGAGAGAGTCCACTTTTCCTGTCCCTTCCCCTCCAGATTGGCTCCACTGGCTTTGGAATGGACGAGAAAGAAAAAAAGCTGGGGCCATGAGGGTAGGTCACAGCCCTTACCAGCTTTGGTGAAACACAAAAACAAAACCCCTGATAAATGTTTGCTGCTCTCCTGTAACCAACGTTCAGGGCAAACCGTATCTCCAGGTGAGCAAGAGCCTGATGACAGGAGTGGAGGAGACAAGAAATCCGCCGGGTTACACCCATACAAACACATGCATGCACACCCGCACAGCTGACGCAATGGGAGGTAATAAGTGCCCTTCTGAAATACTCCTCTCATGCCAAGAGGGAAGAAGAGGCAACTCAAAGCCAGGCAATGTATCTTTCTTTGCCTTCTCTCAAGTTTGCTCCCGAATCTGAAGGCTGAGCTAGAGATGAGCCAAAACTGAGACTGCTTGTGATACTCAGGGAGGCACCCTGGGGAAAGAACAGGGGTCACGATTAGTGTTCAGTGGTCCCTTTCGAAGTCCAGGTCCTGGAGGCAGCGTGGGGCGGGCACTGGCTCTGCCCCAGCCCCCAGTGATTGTAAACAGCCGAGCACCGCACGTAGTGTCAGACCAGCTGTGTCAAGTCTATGAACTTAAACTCTGTGCACACTGACCTCAGTTTCTCATCCCTGGCAATGAAGTGGGTGCCTTCCCAGCAGGATGGCAACCGAATGCTGCCACTCCTTCTGCTTGTTGGGGGCCGAGGGTGGAAGATGGCCTGAATGTACAAAGCAACCATTTTATAGGTCTCCCTTGGCAGAAGCACAGCCCACTAGGAAATCCTTCCCCTAGGCCTGGCGCAGCAAATATTTCCTGAGAACTTCGATATCTCTTCAGTATGAAATCAGGCTGATCAATGCGAGGTAAAATCCGTGCCTCCCCACAGAGGTACGCACTTAGATGATTCTGATTAAAACCTTCAGGGCACTCAGCCAAGACTGCGGAGGACCTAAGCAGACAGTTCCTGGGGCAAGTTCATTTTCCGCAGGAGACGCTGAGTGAAAGGTTACTAAGGAAGAAGCAACTCATTATAACCCCAGATCTAGAGACAAAGTCTAAAAACAAAAATCTAATCTTAAATAAAATATAAATATCTTCCATTTAGGCAGCACTTCATATCTTTTAAGAGCTGAAGCAATTAAGAATACAGTGTTGTGACCCACACTGAGGAATTCAGAGAAGAAAAGGTGTTGCCCTCAGGGTCACAGGAAGCCAGAGAGTAAAGATTACAAACTCCAGCTTTGGGGACTGGTTTTAAACTACTAGGTAGGTCCAGACACCCCCTGGAGACTTGACTAGGTAGGAGAATATTGGGTACAACATTTGAGAGAAAGATGAAGAGGAGGCCAAGCTTTATAAAGAGGGAGAGCTCCCACTTATGTAATCTAGCCTGGCCCAGGAAAGGAGAAAACATGAGGTGGGGGACACTAAAAGTTTTAAATAAAGTAAGCTGTGCAACAGGAATAACTTGGGTGAGGTGGGCCAGAAGGAGGCAGGCAGGTGATAAGGGAGAAGGCATGGTGAGGGAAAGACCCGAAAAGTTCTGGGTTAAAATAAGTACAAATGCGCAGTGAAAGCACTGCTACTGGTGGCACCTGTCATGTCTGCTACCCACCCTCTCCCCTGCCCTCAGCCCCACCCAGCCCAGCGGACCCAGCTGCTAGATAGTGGGGTTCCCAGACAACAACCTGCCTCTCCCCAGAGCTTAGACCATACCTGAAGCTCTGGAGCCAAGTACTGGGGGGACACACAGGGTTGGGGTGGGCAGGTGCAGAGAATGCACCCAGATCACGACACAACAAAGGCACTGGTGGAATTGATGAAGATGGGAGTTTGGCTTGGCTGGATCAGCTCATAGAGGGCTTCGTAGGTCCCCACCACAAAGCCCACAAAGCCCAGGATGCTGATCAGGGCGTCCTTGGCGATGGTGAGGGGGCTCATGCCCTCCGAGTAGTAGGTGGTGATCTCCAGGAGGGGTGGGATGATGAGGGCCAGGGCACTGCTGCTCACGGAGCCCACCAGGGAGATGACCAGGTCCAGGCGGGGGATGAGGATGGCCAAGATGCCTGCAGGGAGAGAGGACATGCCTGTTTAAGAGTGCCCAGAGCCCACTCCACCTCTGTCCATCCTACCGAATGGAGAGATCTAAGAAGACTTAGACACTATCCAGTCCAATCTCTGGACAATGGATGCCCAGAGATGTGGAATAACTGGGCTCGCACTGCAAGGTCGGCAGAACTGGGAGTGTGACCTGGATCTCCTGGCTCCAGTCCCCTAGCTTTCAGCTCTTTTCCTGCCACAGTGCATGACTTCTGTCCTTCTGAGGAAAAGGAACCAAATTACATTCCAGGGCAATCTGGTCTGTACCAAAGGAGGGAGGGTAGGGAGCAGAAAAGGAGGTGGGCTGTTTCTCAGCAAATGCTCATTTTCTTACCACTGAGGGCACCTCCAACATAAACATCTCTACTTGATCGACAAGAAACAAACAAAAAAAACATTCCTTCTCCTGGAAAGATGCTGTGATAACCCCATTTCACGGAGTACTTTTATACAGGCAAAAGACAAAGCAGTTCTGTCTTCAGGTTGACCTCTGAAGCAAATCCCCACACAGTGACCATTATGCCAGGACAACCAGCAGCCCCCACATCTGAGACTCAGCCACAGGTTGGTGAGGAAGGTGAATGGTGGACTATGTTAGGAGATGCCACCGGCTTCCATACCACTCCAGCCATCTTCAAGACGGTCAGATAGTGCTGTTTAAAACAAAGAGGAGAAGGCTTCCCCAGCCACACATACTGTACTGCCCACTGACCTTCTGTTCCCATCTCACTCGTCTTTCCACAGGGGGCAAAGGCCAGTGTTTCACAGGTTCACGGAGGAGGACAGACTCTGGAATTGGATTCTTGCATTCGAACCCTGGCTTCTCTGCTAACTAGCTGAGTGACGTTGAGGAAATTATGGCTTCTTCCTATTCCCCAGTTTTCTTATTGGCAAAATGGGGATGCTAATTGCCCCTACATGACAGAGATGGCATTATGATCAAATGAGGTTACGCAGGCACTCTGCACAAGGCCTGGTGACAACAGGGATGCAATACATGTGAATGTCATCATCACTAGCATTCATGTTGCTGATCATGAAAAGTGCATCATTAACTTGTTTGTAACCAAATATAGTTTGACAGATTGTCTTTCCTACTGCTGGGCTGTAACAGGATGTCCCTGGCATCCAGCCAGTCAGCCAGACCTCATCTATCACCTCAAGAATCCTACGAGAGAGCTACATTTTACATGGGGGTTTTGGTTCTAACTTCATTTCATAAAGGAAAAACGTAGTCGAATCACTCTGAGGAAGGCACCACACTGGTGCACCTGCCAGAACACCTCAGGCCGATGCAGCCAATTTTGCCTCCAGTGTCTGAATTGATGGCTACTTCTTTGGCTGAGCACCAGATGAAAAGATTGGACCGCATTTAGAGACCAGATGTTAGAGAAACTCTTACTTTTCAACTGGAATACCACTCCCTGCGGTAAGATGAGAGGCAGGTGGGAACCAAGACTTACCAGGGGTGGAGCAGACTCACATCTCCTGTCTCACACTTACCCTGAAGCTGTGCTGTCCAATAGACTTGTCACAGATGGCTATTTAAATGTGAATGAATTAGAGTTAAATAAATTTCTCTCCTCATTCACACTAGCCACATGTCACGGGCTCAAAAGCCACCTGTGCCTAGTTGCACTGGGCAGCACAAATACGGAACATTTTCATCACTGCAGAATGACCAGTGTCATCTGGTAGAAAGCACTGTTAAATCTGCCTCAGCTACATAGGTATAAAACTCCAAAACATCATTGGTGTCCCCGTGGAAAGAGATCCAGAGAAGTAAATGATAGAAAGTGACAGAACCAGGACTAGAATCCAGGACCTCAAGGCAAGAAGACTGAGCTTCCGCCTCCCGCTGATATGGTGGGGAGAGGAAGCAACAGATGCCCGACCAATCAGCATAAACGGCCCCCAGGGTTCCAGAGCAGGGAGTCTGTTTTGCCACCATGAAAATGACTTTAATTTTAGAGGCAGAAATCAACTACTTAGGAAAGATACTGGGGCAACTAAGGCCGCTTGTAGCACTAAATATCGTTATTCTAGGAGTTAAAGCCCCCTAAAAAGAGAAAACCAAGAAGTTAGATATCTTAGGAAGCAGCCAAGTAGGAACATCCCCTCTTACCCTCCCCTCCTTTTCCTCCCTAAAAAACCACACCCCATCCGAAGTGGAAGAGAGCATGTTCTCAGCAGCAGTTACACAGCTCTCAGCAGCAGCTCAGATGTGGCATGTACAGAAGGGGTACCGAGGACAACCTAATCCAGACCACATGATTAGCCAAGAGGACTCCAGTGGTATTACAGAACATGTTCCCTCTGGGCTAAGAGACACTAAGAATATGATCTTCCAACTGCTGAAGCAACATGAGGCTAAGAGACACTAAGAATATGATCTTTCAACTGCTGAAGCAACACGAGGCAAACGGTCATGTTCTGAGAAGGAAATGATCATGATTCTGGAGCCTGTGGTTTTGAACAAGCATCAGAAAGAGCTGACTTATGCACAAGGGAAGAGAAAAGCACTTAAAAGAACAAACGCACACAGAAATACCTTGGACACTTACAGCTCCTTTGTCAGGAAGCTCTTTCTGCTATTTTATGATTGACACACATAACTTTTAAATATCTAGAAATCTGCCTTTAAAATTAACAATAGTCTTGCGCAGGTATATAATTTCATTTAGTGGGGGTATAAATTTTAAAAATACAAAAGCAAGGGAAACAACCTACATGTCCAACATTAAAGGAGTAGTTTAGTCAATATGATCCGTCAACAATGGAATACCATGCAGTCATGAAAACATTAATAAATGATATAAAAATTCATGCTAGATTAAATAAAATGTGAAAGACAAAGGTATATGTGTACCGTGACTGCAACTATTTTTACAATGTACCCATGAGAATTAAGACATAGAAAATAAAAAGAAAAAAAAATTTTGTTGTCAGTGGAATATTGGGATTTTTTTTCTTTTATTCCCAAATGTTTTTACTTTAACCTTCTTTTTTAAAGAACAATATTATTGTAGAAATTTAAAATCAGGCCCAAAGTAGCTATATAGAACCACAGAATTTTGGAGTTGAGTGAGACCTTAGAGATCAGATGTGCTTCATATCATACCGTTGAGGAAACTAAAGCCTTGTGAGGGTTCCCGGGGGCATGGGAGTGGGGGACAGTTGCACACCTAATTAATGATGCTTCCCTTCCTCACTGCAGCTGCAAGACAGAGAAGAGTGAAAGGCCAGAGGATACCGAGACGCCACCCTGGATGTGGAAGCTTTGTGCTCTAAAAGGTCTGAATGCTTGGAATGTTTTGTAGCTGTGCATTCCAGTCTGAACAGGCCTCTTAATTAATGTAGTTTTATGTTATGACATCTTCAACAATACGTTTCTGAAATTCTCACACCGACCTGAAGTAAAATGTTTCATGTGTCAAATGCCACGGAGAATTAGTGTGAATCGCTGAAGGGCAGGTTAGTGCCTCAAGGACTCCAACAAAACCATGCATCCTACAACCTCTGGATTCTCCCATGTGAAGCCAGCCTCTTCCAGCCTCTCCTTCTACATAAGTTCTGGACACAAGGTGACCTGATAAGTCTGCATTTCCAAAAATATGGGCTGGAAGTAAATAGTGTCCCCTAAGAAATCATAACAAAATGAGCACCAGTCTCTGAAATACTCATTTGCCCTCCCTTCATCTCTAACAGTCCTAAATTTAGCACCAAAAAGTAGTCATCAGCCATAGTAATCTTTAGGGGATGGGGGAGAGTGGTGAGGAAGTTGAACTCCAAGTGGGAAACAAAATGAGGCTGGACCAAATCCCCCCTGTTCCTCTTGGAGATGGAAGGTGAGGAAGAGGCAGAAAAGTTGGAAAAAATACAGGAAAATACCAGAAATAGCAATAAAACGAGCTGCCATTAAAATTTATGGAGATAATGTAAAACAATTAACTACATCAAAGATCTAAAATCATGTACCAATCTTGTACAAAAAGATCTGAAAGAAAAGAGAAGCAAGAACAAAATCAACGCATATAAATACACTGAAGTTGTTGCTACCATGAAAGGCCTCTACTGATTCCTACCATTACTTCAAAGTCTCCAGGGAAGGTAAGAGAAGCTGGAGTGCTCTCATAGATGAAGGGCCTGCCTTCTTTAACAGGATGACGACACAACGCTCGGTCAAAACAGATCACGGGAGAAGGCGAAAGCAACTGTGTGCACTTGAAGATCAAAAGCAGCCTGTGTCCTTTGAGCATCGTGCTGTAGAAGGGAGATGAGACCCCCAGATAGAGCTAGGAAAAGTCAAGCAAAAACCAAGAGGCATCTGAGGACAGCACGAGGTCTAAACCAGAAACGCTGCTTCCTGCAGGGTACAGTGGAAACAAACCCGATAAGGAGCAAGACATATGCCACAGGGAGGCTAGGCCAGGCTTGAGAAGAAAATGGGGCATTGGGGGGAATGAGCCCCATGCCTCTGCCTCACCTCCACTGGGTAGGGACAAGGAGCTACATAGTCAGTTTAGCACATTTTACCTAGGCAGACTTTTTCTAGAGGAACCACTTTAAAAAAAGGTAAATTATTTCAGTTATCCCCATCCTTTCTAACAACGCCCTTTGGATTCAAGAGCTGGGCCCTCAGAGTGGACATTACAAATACTGTACATGTGGAAGCTGTCTCCTCAGCACTGAGAACTAATACCTCTATGGAGGAAACATACACATCTGAATCAAAGCACCGGGAGCTGCTGGCAGAAGAGAGGATGAAAATCTACAGTCCAAGCATCCTTTCTTACCAGCACACTTTAAGGCAATTTACTGGAAAAGCAAGATATACCATGTTCCTTCCCTTTCAGTAGCTCTGGGAGCAGGGACTGGCTGCAGACTGCCCTGGGCCCTGGACTAGCTGTCGCATGGGCTGTTTTTATAGGCTGGTCTGGGAGAGGGCCTGAAGGTCTGCCAAATGAAAGCTTCAAGGAGAAGCCAGATTCATGGTTGCCAACAGCTCTTGGCCTAGAGAATCCGAGGTGTCCACCCTCTGCCCTGCTCCTACCCTGCCCCACTCTGCCAAGAAATCATTAGGAGTGCTACCCAGGACTACATCAGAAGGTCATGGGAATGCCTTTGTTTCCTTAGTTCTAGTGTGTTCTTTCCTCAAAGAGATCCAGGATGCTGAGCTTTTTTGAGCTTCCACCCACGTCCTTCATGTGAAATGAAGAAGAGAAGTGCAGGTGGCTTAAATTCCAGGGCAGGCATCTGTTCACGTTTAGATGAGTGGATGAAAAGAACCGACAGCCTCTCGCCTGCCTTCCTCTTACCAACAGTCAACCAACAGAGTCATTTCTGACTTCCCAGACTACGAGCGAATGCTGGACAACACTCACATCTTTCAGCCCTGAAGCATTTAACTCTGGTTCAATTAAAAAATCAGACAGACCTATCATTATTCCAAAGACAGAAGCTCAGACTGAGTAATTTAAGGAAACTTCCAGGGAAGTCTCAATATAATAAGAGGTTCTTGTCCCAAAAGAATAAAGTCTAAAAAGAAAAAGAAAAAGAAAAGCCAAATACAGCCAAAAAAGAGAAATCTATGCTTCAAGGATTTCCAAACAATTGCAAATAACCTACTTTTTTTTTTTTTGTGGCTGGCCAGTATGGGGATCTGAACCTTTGACCTTGGTGTTACTAGCATGATGCTCTCCCAAGTAAGCTAACTGGCCAGGCTAATCTCCTGGAAATTTAAATTAGATATTATAGACCAATTTGTTCAGGGATTCTCTAGTCTACCAACTCACAGAAGCTACAAAAAATATTATTTTTATTTTTAAAATTTATACCAATTTTCAATCAACAGCAAATAAGGTGATATCCTGTCTTTTAACTCATACACCTTGGTATGGGATCAGAGGAAGGGGACTAAAACACAAAGTGATAAATCAAATATCTAGGTTAATCAATAGAAATTTTCTAAGAAGTATATTTAGTAAAAATAACATCAAAAAAGATCTAGAATAGTATCATACAGGCTCAAAATGAAATCTAAGGAATAAATCATCACACTGCAAAAACAACCATTGGAAACACAAACATGCACCCTCTACCAAAGCAACCTATATCCATTACAGATATGGGATAAATGGCTCTCTTTTGGACTTTTACCTTATTTAATATGGGAGAGAGATTGTTTGTCTTTACTCTGAATTATGGACATCTCCACAGCATTTCATACCACATCTGTGAGTACGCTGCTGTCCTCGTACCCGTGTCCTTTGGAGCACATGCATAATTAATGCACTTCACCATCTGCGTGTGCTCAGCTCTGAAAGCGAGACAATGTGCCACGTTTTCTGCTCACACGGCACAGGCAGTTTCACAACACATGCTTTGTCTCATGAAAGCCCTTGGGGGTTGGGGCCCTTTGGGGAAAAAGAAACAAGGCGATTATCTTGTCTTCTACTCACATGTCAGGCAAACCAGCACCGTGCGCACGAACAGGTCTACCACTAACTCACAATGCTCAGGTGCTCGGGACACAAAGAAGGGGACGATGATCTCAGCTGGGACGTAGAACTGGATAGCATAGGTGAAAAAGATCCCAATGGAGTAAAGCAGCTTAACAGACTGGTACAACCTGCAGAGAGAGGCAGGATGCTTTCAGAAGCCTACTCAGCATGCTTACACATGATCAGTGAGAGTCCAGAACCATCCCAGTGCAATGTGACGACACTGTCAAGGTTACAAACACACATGTCCTTCGGACCCAGAAGTTTCACATCTAGGAATTTATCTCACAGATATATTTGTACATGTGCACAAAAACTTATATTCAAAACATTTCACTGCAGCATATTTAGGAATGAAAAATTGAAAACAATTTTAATGTTAATCAGTGGTGAACTGGTTAAATAAATCATGGTGTCTCCATATAGCTCCTAAAAAGTCTAAGGCAGAAGAACTCTAGGTGCTGATATAGAACTATCTCCACGATATGCTATCAAGTGAAAAAAGCATGAAGCAGTACGGTGTCTACAGAGTGGTACAATTTGTCTAAAAAGAGAAAAAAAAGGGAAAAAACACCCCCCTACACACATGCACACATGCACATGATCGACACTGTAACATGCACTAAACATCTCAGAAGGAAACACGAGAAACTGGCAAAATGGTTGCCTCTGAAATAGAAAATTGTAAAACTGGGCACTGGAGTGGGGGTGAGGATGAAAGCTTAATCTTCTCTGTATATCTTTTGAACATTAGGATCTTTACCATGGGCATATGGGCTTATATCCTCTCAAAAATAAAAATTAAAAATACAATTAAAATGTAACAAGTCTATCTATGTCCTTCCCATCCAATTCAGTGCTCCTAGACTCGGATGGTGACCATGCAGGACNTCAAGTGAAAAAAGCATGAAGCAGTACGGTGTCTACAGAGTGGTACAATTTGTCTAAAAAGAAAAAAAAGGGAAAAAACACCCCCCTACACACACGCACACATGCACATGATCGACATTGTAACATGCACTAAACATCTCAGAAGGAAACACGAGAAACTGGCAAAATGGTTGCCTCTGAAATAGAAAATTGTAAAACTGGGCACTGGAGTGGGGGTGAGGATGAAAGCTTAATCTTCTCTGTATATCTTTTGAACATTAGGATCTTTACCATGGGCATATGAGCTTATATCCTCTCAAAAATAAAAATTAAAAATACAATTAAAATGTAACAAGTCTATCTATGTCCTTCCCATCCAATTCAGTGCTCCTAGACTCGGATGGTGACCATGCAGGACCAAGAGGCAGAGCAGAATCCATCTTTCCACTCCACTATGGGTGCCTTCCTACCACCACTTCATGTGTAGCTTCCTAGGGAAACTGTGTACTCACTTTGGGATATCTCTGTCTCATCACCCCTGTGCCTCCACTGCTGTGATCATTAAGTAATTAGGGACCTGACTGGATCATCAAAGGGAAGGGTCCACTCTGCCCTAACCGGAGCTTTGCTTAGGAGCAGAGTGACCCTTCCCTTTGATGATCAAGTCAGATCCCTAAGAACTTAACTCAATGCACAGTATACACACAAGATTACCACATTTGGCCTCCCTTGTTGGAAATCTATTTAAATGTGGTAATCTATTGTGTGTATACTGTGCACTGAGTTTCTCTGTGGTTTAACTTAATACCTAGAAAATGTTCTTATCCTATAAGCAGAACACTCTGGGAAAGACTGAGTTTGGCAAAAGGTCTTACTCACTCCAACAACAGATAATAAAAACTCTTCAGAAAAATCAGCTGATGGCTCTGTAATTCAGCTCAGAGCTGCACCAAAGCCCTCTGGAGTGTCTCAAAGTCTGGAATCAAGAGAGTCACTTGCTGGGATGGTCAAATAAATCAAACCCAAAAGGAGCAGAAAGATTAGAGCAGTTGGGTTTGGGGTGTCAGAGAGAAGAAGACAGATGCTCGTTTAAAGCTTCACATTATGCGGCTCCTTCTGTTGTTCCCAATCCACTTATCTTCCAGGGAAAGGTGACACAGTTACACCAAGTAACCTCCAGACTCTTCCCTCTTGGAAGGGCAGGAACACCTGAAAATTTAAAAGGAGGCACCGAAGGGAAAGAGAAAAAAGACTTCCCCAAAACAACTCACTTCAGGGCTACCATTTGTCTGGCAGTGCAACAAATTTAATCCCCAGACCCCTGCTGATTAGGTTGTCCTGTGCTAGATGCTGACATTACTGAATAAACATTTTTCTCAATTTTCTCAATCTGTCCTTGCCCAAAGCCTCACTGATCAGAGCTTTTAAAGCACACACGGCCAGATCAGCCATGCTAGACTGAAAGGTTATTCTTTTCCCTGGGACACTCAGCCGGCTTCTCAGTGCCTATTAACTGGTACTCTCCACAATGAGATTTTAATCTTCAAAACAAAATTGTTGATTAGCATACACCCTATGACATCTACCTTTTTAGGAGGCATTTCATTTTGTCTCTGTGTTTCCTTACAATACACCTGCCAATGAAAGAGAGGTAAAAAAGGGCTACTGATGACCCCTGGTCCACAGTGAGATGCTCCCGCCTGCACATCAAGCCTCTGACAGCCAAGGGGGAGACACAGCGGAAGCTGGTGACCAAATGCAGATGTGTCCTCTTCTTTCCCCATCTACTTGGAATGGTTTAAGGTGAACAGACTGGATACTCAGCCCTTCCAGGCTCAGGATTTCCAAGGAGAAATGGCTGAACTGAACAGGCAGCTGATCAACCAATGGATTCAGTACAAACCTCCAGAGGAACTACCCATCCAAACGAAGAACGAAGTTCAGGGCAGCCCATGAGGGGTGATGGTGGCTGGGGATGGTGGCATCAGTGGTCTGATTTAAGAGATACGTAAGAGGAAGAACACATCTTCTGATCCATTAATTTTTAAAAATATTCAGTGCTCCTGGGTTTCCACCTTCCCCCACGTACCAGCAGTTGGGCATGTTGAGGGTTATGCTGCCTTGGATATCAGCTCCAAATTGCAGGTACCCCAGACACCCCAGGCTGATGTAGAGGACAGTGATGATGGCCATTCCCAAGTATAGGATAAGTGGGAATTTCTGGGGATCTTTCATTTTGTTTTCAAGGGGCAGAACCTAGAAGAGAGTAGTCAGAGAGGAGAGAAAGCACAGAAAAAAGCAAGATTAATGGCCAAGAAAAAAATTAAAATCCTCAGAAAAAACTTCTTTATCCCCAGAATTTCTCAAAAGCAATTTTTCCCTTCCCTTACTAGACAGACAAATGAAAAAATCAAGGTTATTTCATCAGAAGTTACACTCGTACACTCAGGACTAGAAGGAACTCGAGCCCATTGTCAGAGCAGGAAGTCCTAAGAGCTAAGGGTGGTGCAGGATGAGAGTGCAGGATTCCTGGCCTGCCAGCGCTCTGCACTCCTGCTGTCGATTGATTCTCACCCCATGAGAGGAGATACGTGGCAACCAGCAGACCCTCTCACAACATGCCTGCATGGTACCTAACCCGAGATCACAGCTCCTTGCTCACCTGTCTAAAAAAATGTAAAATATGGGCCAGGGAAAATTGTCGTTCTAGTTCCCAGAAAGTATTTCCTTACCTCAATAGGTGCAGGCACCAGCAGTGACAGATTAAACTTCCGAGTTAGAGAAATGGAGCTGCAGGAGTCAGCATGAGTCCATAGAGGATCTCAAAACTTGGGTTCTTAACAAAGCCCATTTCCAGACTCCTATGTCAAGTCACTTACCTTAGCTGACTCCTTTGTCATAAAAGAGGACATTCTTTAACTTTGGTGAAAGCAAAGTAAAGGCCCCTTATAAAGATGAGTTTATTTAGAAACGGGGAACATAGAAGGTTTGACTGTGACAATCTGCACAATCTATCAACTGGATCTGGTACGGCCAGTGAGGAAAAGCAACGCAGGGCAATGTCTAGCTGCCCCACAAACTCTCTTTGATCTAGTCATGACACTCATTTTCCTGCAGTGCATGTGGCCACGAGTCACAACTGGTCTGTGCTGTATACACCTGGCACCACGGCCTGGATTCTGAGGAACATCACAGCTTTGCATCTCTGTCTGGCCCTCAACCCTCCCCCCTGCCCCCCAGGGTCTCACACTTCAGTTAATCCACAACCAATTAGAAACAGCTTCTAAACTCATGCGTCTTGTTTCCTTCACACCAAGAGTACAAAGAGCCAGAGAGCAGAAACCTCATCTCTGTATCCTATCAGGCCTGGGTCAGCTGCATAAATACAGACAGCACAGTGTGCAACCTGGCATTTTACCCTGACACACTGAATAACCCTTAAATCTAAAACTAAATCAAAATAGCAGTGTTCTCTCTCCATTGTAAAAATGGAAAGTACAAAGTAATCTTGAAGTTAACAGATAACAATGTTTACAGAATGACTCTGTATCCAAGACTTGGCTAATGAAATGAAGCAAAGAACAACTTCTGCACTGGGCTGTCAGGGGAAATTGATAAAAATTTAGTCTCTGGGCATCTTTGCAGACTTTCTCAACCTCTTCTTTCAAGTCCTGAGTTCTTGGAATCTCTTTCTTACTGCTGAAAAACTGTAGCACTCAGGCCTCTGCCCCAGCAGCAGGGAACCACAGTGTTTACAAATCAAGGCAGGACAATCTTCATGGACAATGAGAAGCCCCAAGAGAGAGCACAGGGAAAGGTTTGAAACCTCAGAACAATGAGCAATTTACACGCTGTCACTCACAAAGCCTCCCCCATGACATCAGAGCCTTAACATGTTCCATCTACAACACCTGTCAATTCATCAGGACTCATCTTTTGATAAAAAATTTGTCCAGCTTCTAGATTTTCTTAAAAGTAAAGGTGTAAGGGGCCAGCCCGGTGGCGCACTGCGATGGTGCGCC